TGACATGAGTGTCCGTGCTCCTGTGAGTGAGTCTCCCACAGTCTGACATGAGTGTCCGTGCTCCTGTGAGTGAGTCTCCCACAGTCTGACATGAGAGTCGGTGCTCCTGTGAGTGAGTCTCCCACAGTCTGACATGAGTCTCCGTGCTCCTGTGAGTGAGTCTCCCACAGTCTGACATGAGAGTCTGTGCTCCTGTGAGTGAGTCTCCCACAGTCTGACATGAGAGTCTGTGCTCCTGTGAGTGAGTCTCCCACAGTCTGACATGAGTGTCTGTGCTCCTGTGAGTGAGTCTCCCACAGTGTGACATGAGAGTCTGTGCTCCTGTGAGTGAGTCTCCCACAGTCTGACATGAGAGTCGGTGCTCCTGTGAGTGAGTTTGCTTGTCTGACAGGCCTTAGTTGGACTGTCACAGTTATACGTTTATTTTTATGTGTACAGAAATGTCTTTAGCCCAGCACATCAAATCCATGGTAAAGGATGGGTAGACTATGGAGCAGATTTTTATTAAAGAGCAAGTATATTAAGGACCCGCGTAAAGTAAATGATAAAGCAGGTAGCGGTAAAACAGCAAGAACTGAAAGATCTGAGAAAACTCGCGGGCTGGATGTCTATTTTAAGGAGATAGGCTAGAGCATCCTAGATAGTCTATTAATATGATTCTCTTTCTTTTCATAGCTGGGCTTTGCAGATCTAAACCTGGCAGAGTTCGCTGGATCAGGAAATACCACCCGCCGCTGTTTACTGGAAGGCTATGATACCAAAAATACAAGACAGGACAATTCCATCCTTAAAGTAAGCACTCTTCTTCGAGATTTACATACCGATAAGAGACCTCATGCCTCACACTAAACATGGACATGTGTTGTTATCTATACGATGGGAATCCATACTGAGGTCATAAGCCAGCACACCACTAAGAAAGACCCTTCCACACCATAGAAGCGGTGAACAGTAATGACCATCCTTATGGCCCAGTGTGTCTCTCATCGATCCTGTGAACAAATGAATACACTACTGCTGCAATAGAAGTGATTGCTGAGGAGAAGGAACACAATGATTAAACACATGGCTTAAAATACATATAGCTATCAGGGCCAGGAGGATGGCTTAGTAGTTAAAGGCACTTGCTACACAACCATGAAGAATTAAGTTCAGACCCAGTGCATGTAAGAAGGCAGGGTGGTTTTTGGTCATACCTGTCATCGTATGCTGTGGGGGATGGAGACAGAAAGGATGTTAATGCTTGTTGGCCTAGCTGTAAAATGCATGCTCCAGGTTCAGGGAGAGACCTTGCCACGAAAGAATAAGGCTGCAAGTGAAGGGAGGAATTCTGATGCACTCTTCTGGGCTTTGTGTATACATATGCTCATGCACTTACACAGACATTCCCCCATGCTCCATGCATGCATACACATGATCGTGCGTGTGCATGCATAGACACACACACACATACCTCAAGAGAAGTTCCAGAGAAGCTGTGATGCATTCTCTTGTAACTTGTGAAAATGACAGACAAACTCACTCACGGGTCTTAATTCCCCAGGTCTGATCGGGGCCATGTATTCAGGTAATCATAGAGAACGGCCACTCCATGAGGCTGATGGAAGTGAGGCCCACTGGGAGAATGTTCAGAAAGTAGCTGGTACCTATGAGAGTCCTCTTCACTATATTTTGCTGAATTAGTAAGTTACCTAATGAGAAGAAAGATAGCTGTGTAAAAGGTAGCTGTGTAAAAACCAAGTGGTTTTAATTCCAAAGTTGGTAAAGTGAAGAATTACTTTATGCTTGTAGTTTAAGCTGGTTTTTGGTGAACTTTTAGCTCTGGCAATATAGAAATTCATGAACTGGTTCTTATAGGTAGTCCTCACTTGCACACATAGCAGCTTTAAGAAATATAGGATGGGCAGTTGATATGGAGAGGAAAATGATTTAAAAAAAAAAAAGATGAGGAAATGTCAGGTGTGGTGATGCACCCCTGTAATTCTACTACTCAGGAGGTGGAGACAGGGAAGACCAGGGGTTCAAGGCCAGCCTTAGCTACATGAGACCTTGTCTCAGAAACCAAGATTGGGAAAGAGGAAATTAGAAAAGCACCATATTATGAAGTTGGAGTCCATTTGATTTTCTTGATTTATACTACTGAAAATATCTCAGGGCACTTGCACATACCACCATGAGGTCAGCAGGTCTAGACAGATGGGGAACAGTTTTTATCCCTGATTTATAACGGAGGTGAGACTCAGGCAGTGAAGTGCCTTCTGTAAGAGAAGCAGTTAGTGACAGAGCTGTCCTCTGATCTGCTGTTTGGTGGCCTTTTCCCATTCCCATGCCCTCCAATCCCGTGTCTCAGAACCCACTGACTATACTGTTTGCTCTGAATGACCCCAAGCAAGTTCCTAAAACCCAGCCTTCTCATATAGGCCTCATGTGAAAAAGCATATAGCCCACCAAGTAGTGATGGTGCACACCTTTAATCCCACACTTGGAAGGCAGAGGCAGGTGGATCTCTGTGAGTTTGAGGCCAGCCTGATTTACAAATGGAGTTCCAGGATAGCCAGAGCTACATAGCAAAACCCTATCTGGAAGAAAAAAGAAAAGCACATAACTCCTCTCTGAATAGGAGTGCTTTCGGGTGTGTGTGTGTGTGTGTGTGTGTGTGTGTGTGTGTCCTCTTCTATGCAACAAGTGCTTTAACTGTGCAGTCATCTCCCTCACACTGAAATTGCTGCCGAGCTTTTGGCAGGTTCCCCTCTTCTACCACCCTCTCTATGTCCCCAGCCCTCCTGGTCTACTCACACAGCTGGTATCTCCAACCTTACCCCTTTCTCCTGATCTGCCAACCCTCCACTTACTTCCAGTTCCCCTGTCTGTAGCTCAGTGTACACAGTTTGTGGTTATCCTACATAAACGAACACTCCCGGTTCCTTTGCCATTTGCTGCCCCTGAGTATCTCCAACTCTCCTTGGTTTGACTGTGTGTCCTCCCTGAGTCTGTGTCCTGCTGCTGAACATTGCTGGAGGACACATGACCGAGGGGACATTACTGAAATCAGGCTCACCTCCTGCTGGTGCCCATACTGTGCCCAATTTAGATATCCTCCATCCTGCCTTTTATTCCAATGTATTTTCATTCCCCATGTTTTACCTCTGCAAAACTCCTCCTTTATTGGAAAGCTAGAACTCATTACATGTGTATCCCCTCATCATCCCAGCGATGAGCTTCCACTTGTCTCTCCGCTCTTACTACAGTGCATGACTGTTACGATGGCTGACACGACCCTCTTCCTGTTAGATGTCAGTGCTTCCTATTGGGCTCTAGAATCCACACAGGCATAATCAAGGGTTTTCTTTTCTCCTTGGCTCATCTGTTCTATTAGTCATCTGTTCCTTTAATGACCCATCCTTGTCAACATACAAAGAAAGAGTTGACATGTACCGTGTCTTAAGAACGAACCTCAGCCTCCCACCTCTCAGTGTCCTCCCACGTCTCTGACCTGACTCCCCATACAATTTCTTTCATCCTAAGACAATCAGATAGTCACAGTGCTGTCCTATAGAGTTGGGAACCAGAATGAAGGACCGGATGAAGAGGCAATAAGAAAGCCAGGACAACAGGATGTGTCTGAGACTTAAGGGGGAAAAAATCAAATAAGAAAGGGACAGTGGTGAATGTCCTGTGGTAAAGAGGTATGAATGAAATGAGGTTGTAGAAGATGTATGTCAGCCATTAGCTGGAAAGCATGTGGTTGTCTCTATGTGTCCTGAGTGTCTTTAAGACTATGACTCATATGTGTGGTCCTGGGTTCTGCCCTGTGCCAGCTCTGTGATTCAGAAAATATCATCTCTATGGTCTCAAAAAGACAATGTTACTTTCTCATGGGATTGTTGAAGATGAATTGTATAGAACACAAAGTGTATATCTGAAACATAAATTCTCCACTCAAGCCAAGTATGAATGTGCATGTGTGTAATCCCGGCACTCAGGAGGCTGAGGCACAAGGATCATAAGTTCAAGGTTATCATCCTTGGCTACCTAGCAAGTCTGGGGGTAGCCTAGAATACCAAGACTGTCTCAAAGATCCAAAGTAAAATAAATTCTCAAGTCATTATCATTGTGAATATCATTATTATCACACCCATTAGAATGTGAATTTGGGGCTGGGAATACAGTCTGGTTGGTAGAATGTTTCTCTAGCATGCAAGAAGCACTGCCTGGGCTCAGTCCCCACCACCATATAAACTGGATGTGGTAATGCATGCCTGGGATCAAAGCAGCACCAGAATGGAGGAAAAAGAAGTTCAAGGCCACCCTCTGATGCACACTGAGTTCAAGGCCAGACTCCCTCAGAATAAATGAGATTGTCCTGTGGTTGATTCTTAAAAGTTACTCAGCAACCAGGGAATATCAACATCTCAAAAGGAAACAGCAAGGCTTTAGTTCCAGTCCAAAGCTGGTGCAAAAGCCAGAAGCTCTCTGCCCCTTAGAGTCTGGAGCAGGTATCCCATGAAGCCTCGTCCTGTGGAGCTGGAGGGCATGCTTCTCCACAGGAATCTGGAGTAAACACAGACAACCCAGACACAGCCACATGTTAAGGAACGCTTATTGCTGGGGAAGTGCTTTTCATTCTTACATTTTCAACAAGATTTTTATAATCACAGGGGTTTGGACACCAAAGATAATTTTTAATCCACCTCTACGTAAAGCAGTAATTGCATTTTGGGTATACCCCCATTAAACGTTTATTTCATTTAATGCTTTCTGGATAGAAAATGTTAGACTGGGTGTTGTGGGGGAAACACCTATTAGCGGAAGCTGGCTTCTGGAGAAATCTTGTGTAACTGTGACATTTGTTGCTCTTTTGTTTAGGTTTTGATCAGTATGCAGCTGATGTCCGGTGACCCATGTTTTAAAACGTAAGTTGATAACCAGTAAATGGATTGTTTTGTCTGAAAGTATGCTACAAATTGAAGCACTTGTGTAGGTAAATGGTTCCTTTCATGGTATAGTGTTCCTGAATTTTGTAGAAGTGACTGTCCCCTGGAATCGAGTAAGCCACTCTCAGGATGATGCAAGTTAAGAGATACTTCCCCATCTTTGAGTTTCAGGTTTAAGGTGGGATTTGACAAATGACAGTTTTAATTTGCTCTCTGTTTTCTTACTTCTTCAACAAATACCTGGTAGGTGCCTTACTGTATGTGGGACTGCAGTGAGCAAAAGAGACAGCATTCTCCCATCCTAGAATTTATACTCAAAGATGGAAACAACCAAGTAGCAATAAGCACAGAAAGGAGCCTGGGAAGAGATGCTGTGATGGGGGTGGGGGAGATGCCCTAAAGAGCTGGTGCTGTTTTATATGGAGTATCAGGGGAAGCCGTCCTGGATGAGATGACATTTGAGTAGAAACTTGAAGGAGGTAAGAAGCAAGGCACACAGATATTTAGGAAAAGAGTCTTCAAGGTGGATGGAATAGGGACAAAAGCCTTGAGGGAGACTGTACCCAGTATGCTCAAGTAATTGCCTGAAAACCCAAATATCTAGAGCAGAGGGAGCAAAGAGCTTGGTAACAGGAGATGAGGTCAGATGGTCATCTTGTGAGCCATTCAAATGACCCCACTTACCTTCTGAATAAGGTAAAATACTGCAGGGGCTTCAGGTGAAAAGGAATTGCCCACATATATGAGGCAAGGTAGAAAAGAAACCTTACGAGGGACCCAGGAACAACAGAAGAGGTGGATTGTGTGACCGTCTCATTAGCTAATGTTTTCTCTCCTGAGAAGCCCAAGGAGGAACAACTCAGAGCTCAGATGTAAGACACAGTGAGACCCACATCTAAAAAAGGAATCTGTAAGACCTCCTGGTTTGATCCTTACCTTACATAGGAGGAAGCTAAGGCAGAGCCATTGTCTTGCCAAGTATGTCTGTGTGGAGCCAAAGGTACATAAGTACTGGTGAGAGGCATGCCCTGCTCTGCTGGATGCCAGGGAGATGTGCACACAGCACACAATATTACAGGGGTAGAGAGCAGAGAACACTAATCACCCCTGATCCTTGAAAGCCAGAAAGTCCTTCCTGAGGGGGAGACACTGGGCTAAGCTGTAATGATGAATGAGAGTGTTCTAAGTGTAGAAGGTGAGGACAGACATTCAAGAAGAAAAATCATGAGCACACACATAAGGCATTGTAATGGCGCACGGAATATTTGTGGGGATATCCAGGTTATAATGATGTCATTTCAGGAGGTCACTTCTCACAGACTCTGAACATTGCTATAAAACTAAAATAATCCCCATTTCTTTAGTCTACAATCATGCTATATCAAGAGATCCTGACAAAGAATACAAAACTTTTTTTTAACAAAAGAAGCAATAGAACCGAGCCAACACACTGAAACTATGTTGCCCTGGGGAACAGAACTGCAGCAGCCTAGCTAAGATTTCAGATTCTGAGTCTGCTGTACCAACAGCCCCCATGGTCAGCTTGCTCTGCCAGAATGCTAACTGCCCCTGACTTAGAGCACTGAGCAGAAATGACTCCTGGTATTTTGAGATAGCAGGACAGGAAAGCCAGATGCAAAGGAGTGTTAGAGATGTTAAGGTAGTAATCACCTATGGAAAGGAAGCCAACTGACATTTAAGAATTGAGGCGTGCAGGCACAGTAAGGTCACTAGTGATTTATGACTGTCATTGTAGGCTCCATTCTTTGTGTGAGATATATATATATATTCATTCCTGTGAAATAAGCAATGGATTTTTAACCAAGTTTTTTTTATGTTATTTAAACATATAACTCAGCAAGGCATGGTAGTACAAGCCCATATGTAATCCTAGCACTCAGAAAATGGAGGCAGGAAGATTTTCATATGTTCAAGGCTAGTCTGAGCTAAATACAGGTTACCAAGCCAGCCAGGGCTACCGAGCAAGATTATGCCCCCTCCCCCCAAAAAAACTAAAATATTACAACAAAAATTAAAATACAAATATTGGTAATTAAAGAGATTGGTCCAAGTCAAACTATGAAGAGCTACAGGTGTCATCCTCAGAGATTGAGCTTTGATCCAAAGGCACCATTGAAGGGTTTGCTTTGACTCATGTACCCTAGGTTGGTACCCAGCTTGCTACATATCCTAGGAAAATATGGTCCTCCTGCCTTGGCCTGCTAAGTGCTGAACACAGGGCTGTAACACCACATTGGGTTCTCTCTCTCTTCAGAACTCTGTGAGACAGTACTGTTTCTATTCATAGAATTTTACTGTATAAACCTCCCACAGGGCAGGTGGGGTGGCTCTGTGGTTAAGAGCACTTGCTGCTCTTTGCAGAGGGCCTAGGTTCCCAGCACCCTATCAGGTGGTTTTCAGTCATGTCTAACTCTAGCTCCAGGGGACCCAGCACCCTCTTTTGGCCTCTGTACATGTACACACATGTGCAGGTGCCTACAGATACATGCACATAAATAAAAATAATATCTTTGTATAAAAATCTTTCCCACATTTATCATTCAGGTTTTAAGGTTCTAAAAGATACTTGTGGATTATTTCATGTTTTTTTATTTCATCCTCAAAAGGATAACACTAATAAAGAGCTTACTAAGGCCAGATGCTGACCTCATAATGAGTCTCTAACAGTAGTTCAAACCTTCAGGCTCACACATGATTCAAGATCTGATCCTTAGAATATCTATTTACAGGCCTCCTTCCACATCCATGTCAATACCAATCGCTGGGGAGTCAGAGTCTCTGGAAGAGGATAGGAAAGGTGGCGAGACCCTCAAGGTGCATCTTGGAATAGCAGGTATGGGTATATAGCTTCCTGGTCTTTCGATATCTGAAAAACAGTACTATTTTATTTCTTCTAGAAACCAAGACTGCTTGCATCTGTTAACTGCTTCTTGTTGCTGTGACAAAAAAACTTGAAGGAGATTTGGGCTCACAGTTCCAGGGGATGCAGCCTGTCGCTGTGGGGAAGCCACAGAGGGATGGGAGGCGTCTGGTCACATTGCACCCACAGTCAGGAAACACAATGATAAGTGCTGGTGTTCAGCTGGTTTCTCCTCCTCTTCATTCAGCCCAGGACCTCAGCTCAGGAAACAGTTCTGCTCACATTCAGGGTGGATTTTCACTCAGCTAAACCTCACAGACAGGCCCAGTTAGGTGGCCCTTAGGTAAATCCTAGTCTAGTCAGATTTCCAGTGAGTTAACCATTGCACTGCTCATTGCTTGTTAAACTCCTCTGTGATCTGGTTTGTGTTCTGTCTTGATGTCTATGGTTACGTGATTGCCAAATCCTGTGGGCATTTTTCCTGTTCTCATATGACTCAGCCACTAATTCTTTCTTGAAGCCATCTCTTCCCTTATCTCCTACCTTCATGACCTTTCCTCTTCTGGCTTCTTAGGGAGTCCTTGAGCCAGCAAGATGATCTGGTTGGTAAAGTCACTTGCTGCCAATCCTGAAGACATGAGTTCAATCCCTAGGACCCCCCAACTAGTTAGCTAGTTGTTATCTGGCCTCCATATGTATAATGTATTGCATACATACACACACATACACACACACACACACACACACACACACACACGCTCAAATAAATAAGTAAATAAATAACCATAGTGATTTTTTTAAGATGAGAATCTATTAGGGGAGGAAGAGTAAGTTTTCTTTAGGAGTGTGGTCCCTAAGAGGCTACGGTAGATGGTTCTACACTCATGCACACAGAGGCAAGATGGTCCTAAACTCATGCACACAGAGGCATCACTAAGTGCTTTCCATGGGTTTAAGAACACAATACATTAAGTTGGTAGGGAAGAGAGAGAGAAGTATAGGAAGAATTGGAGAGGATGGAATAGACCCTGAATTTGATCAAAACATATCATATGCACACATGAAATTCTCAAATAATAACAAAAAATTAAAAAGAAACTTCCTTAAGGTCCTAGGGCTGTCGCCGTGGTATAGGGCACTTGATGCTTGCTTTAGGACCTGGCTTTAGTCTCCAGCCTTCAAAAACAAAAACTAAGACATAAAACCTTCCCTGGCTTCTTTGACCTCCTCTCCAGTGTTGCTATTCCACAGGAGTTTAGTCCTCTCTACTTAGTTTTCTGAGCAGTGTAATCCACACCCCTGGATTTAACTGTCATAAATATAATTTCTTTATATGAATGTGTGTTAGATACATACCTTTCACAAATATCTGTTTTCAAATGTCTTGAGGACGGTCTCCCTTATGTCACATATCCTACAGAAATCCATATGTTCATCTTTCTCCCAAGCCAGACTCTGGGTTCCTCATGATTAAGGCATTCTATCCCATCGTAAGGCTAGGGACAGGTCAGCATGTGATGAGGACCAGTTGTCCTCCGATTCCACATGTCAGTGTAAATTTGCCTAACTTTTTTTTCTACTTTTTTTTAAATATATTTTTATTGGATATTTTATTTATTTACATTTCAGGTGCTATCCTCTTTCCCCATTCCCCTCCCTAGAAAACCCCTATCCCATCCCCCCTCCTCCTTTTTGCTTTTATACCATTTTAATTACATGCAAGTATTAAGGTCAGTTCTAGATTGAGGAACTAGCAATACAATAGATGCAAATAGTCAAAGAACAAGCAAGACAATAAACAGAGTTTCCTGAACACTCCTGTAATCGATGTTTCTAAGGGTTTATCAGGATGACCAAAATAGCTGAGCCTACTTCCCTGTCCTAGCCCAAAGTCATTTTCATGTCTGAAACCTACTTCCTTGTTCTAGCCTAAGATTTAGATTCCTTCCTGAAATTACTTCTTTTTTCTAGCCTAATGTCGGATTCCTGCCTGAAGCCTACTTCCTTGTCCTTGGCCCATGTCAAATTCTTGTCAAGCAGCCCCAAAAGCTCTCTGCCTCTCCCCCTTTTTTATTCTCCTACTGGTCAGGCATCTTGGCACCAGCTTTTGCTCAGTAACTGAATCCAGCCATCTATGTTAAAGACCTCCCATACTTAGCTGGGTTACAATAAAAACCTCCTCTCTGCAGTCCATCCTGCTTATCCCTTTACTAAAGTGATCTTCACGCAGTACAGACTGCAGTGTCATGCCCTTGCTTAAAGTCATCTAAGTATTGCCTTCATTCAGCTCCCAGAAAGCTCTTCACCAGCCGGCATCTTCTTGTGCTGTCGGCCCCTTTCCCATCAGTCATCTCCCCACTGCTCTGTATGCCGACTTTACCATTTGCTTCTCTGCAAACAAAGCTTGTTGTGCCCTATGCTGTTCCTTACTCAGCTAGCTGAGAGACTCCTACATTGGCAGATCCTGGGCTAGCCTCCTCTTCGAAGTCTCCTCCCATGTGGTATCAGGTGCACTGGCCTTTGGGGTCATTAGTATCTTCTTTTGGTTAATGCTAGGCACACTGCATTTTGTTTGCAAGTGTTTTGCCTCGTACTTTGTAGCCCCAGTGTTTGTTTCATCTACACCAGGGACAATTGATTTGATAAGAGCTTAATAAATTTTTACATAGAATACATTTTGGAAACCAGAAGACAAATGTCTGAGATCTGAGCCAAACACTGGGGTAGACTTCTGGGTATATAGGAATCTCTACAAACTATCACCTAGAGAAGATTCCATTGGCCCCAACCTTTGGGTTTAGGGCTGCTGTAGAGATAAACACTTGGTACCCTTGCAGTCTACCCGGACATGGGAAGCCTTTGCAGAGAGCCGGTAGCTTGTGTTTGACAGCATCTGCTGGCCCAACTGTGCAGCATCTCGGTTACAGAACTGCTACTGTGGTAACTATCTCACTCAACTGTTTTCCTTCTGCTCCTGTGTTTTACACAATACCAAACTCACAGTTCTGTCTTCTGTGGAGGAGCGTGACACCACAAGTGCGTAACTGCTATCTAGACTATGAGCGTAATCAGGGGACTGCTAGAAACAGTTTGTGGTTCCAAATAGTACCTCACAAACTAGGCACTATCCTGTTTCTTTTGTCACCTTATTTTTCAAATTTTATTTATCTTATTGTGTAGTGTGTGGGTATTTTGCCTATGTATATGTCTGTTCACCATCTGCATGTGATTCTTGTAGAGGCTAAAAGAGGGCGTTGGGTCCCCTGGAACTGGAGTAACAGCTGGTTGTGAGCTGCCATGTAGGTGCTGGGAACTGGAAGAGCAGCCAGTGCTCTAAACAGCTGCGTCATCTCCAATCTTTATTCGGTTTTTTTTTTTTAAGAACTTTCATCCTGGATACTACACCCTATGCTGTGTTGGTAAAAGTTACAGTATTGGCATAAAAGTTACAGTATTGGCCTAACACTAGGAAGACTGACATTATAACAGTAAAGTATCTTTAATTCACTACTGCAATGAATTCTCCTCCACACCACCTCAAAACAAAACAAACAAAACCCAAAACAACAAAACCACTACAGTGCCTGGGCATGGTGGTGTACATCTGCAATCCCAGCACTGAGGACAGCAAGAAAGGAAGTCAGGGGTTGAATGTTCTGCTACTGAGTGAGTGTAAGGGTAGCTGGGATTACCGGACCTGATAGATAGATAGATAGATAGATAGATAGATAGATAGATAGATAGATAGATAGATAGAGATAGATAGATAACACCAAAGTCCAGCATTTTCCTGAGAGTTGTAAGAATAAGACTGACTTCTTAGAGAAATGTTAAGGAAAAAATGGTTTTAAGATACACTGCTAGTAGACATAATGAAAGTACCCTATCTTTCCAATGAACTAAGATATTTAAGTATTCTTTTATTTCTTGTGATGTAGCTGTTCTTGTTGTGCCAATTTGAAAGACTAGCACGTTATCATTTATTTTCCTTGATTGTGAATTTGTGAAGTAATAAAATCTGCAGGTGAGAATACAAGTTGACTTGGTGGCAATAGTAACATTGAGTTGTGACTTATTGCAGATCTTTCAGCAAAGAGTGCCTCTGTTCCAGATGAACTTGGTGCCTGGGGACACTCTAGAACATCAAGCTATGCAAGCCAACAGTCCAAAGTGTCAGGTAGAGGCCCACAGTGGGATTCAATGCCTTGTTCTTCTAACGCAGTGGTTCTCAACCAATAGGGGTCTCATGACCCCTTTAGTGGTCACATTATCAGATATCCTGCATATAAGATATTTACATTATGATCCATAACAATTGCAAATTTACAGTTATGAAGTAGCAATGAAGTAATTTTATGATTGGGAGTCGCTACAGCATGAGGAACTGTATTAAAGGGTCTCACAGCATTATGAAGGCTGAGAACCACTGTTCTAAAGGGATTTGGAGCCAAGTGTGGTGACACACACCTGTTATTTTAGCAATGGGGAGGCTGAGACAGAAGGATGGCAAGTTCAAGGTCAGCCTCTGCTTGCTGTATAGCAAGTGCCTGTCTCCAGACAAAATAAAATTCAATAATGCACTTGGGACTACTATAGGGGAAAGGTTATTGTTATGGGATGAAGAACTTACATCTCAGAGATAGCAGATGACTCAGTAAAATGTTTGCCATGCAAGCATGAGAACCTGAGTTCAGTCACCAGCACTCGCCTAAAAGTCAGACATGACAGTCCATACCTGTAACCTAAGAGCTGGGAAGACAAAGACGGAGGGACTTCAGGGACTACTGTAGCTAAATCAGCAAGATCGAAGCTCAGTGTCTCAAAGCACAAGGTGGCCCAGTGACAGAGAATCCCAGATCAACAACTGGCCTCTGTACATACATCCACCCACATGCATCTGCACACACATGTACATGCACCCCTATGAACCTGTACACACATACAGAAAGAGAAGGTTAGGTTGTAGTGTGTGTGATCATTGATAGTATATCCAAAGTGATTTTTCCTCTGGCAGGATATAGCACATGTCACTCCCGGTCATCCAGTTTCTCCGAGTTCTGCCACAGGAGAAATACCTCAGTGGGAAGCACCTCAACAGGGATTGAAAGCATTCTTGAGCCATGCGACGAAACTGAGCAAATCACAACTGACCCAAATCCAGACCCTGCGGCCGCCGTTAAGGAAGAAGAAGCTTCTGAAAAACTCGCCAGGTACCTTCCCACGTGATGTTGTTATGTTTCAGAGCGTCTTTATTCTCATGACATAATCAATACAAAAGGGGGAAACAACTGTGGCTCTCTTCACAGATGCCCAGTGAAGCAGGATTCTGTTGAGTCTCAGCTGAAGCGGGTTGACGACACCAGAGTGGATGCTGATGACATTGTGGAGAAAATCCTACAGAGTCAGGACTTCAGCCTGGACTCCAGTGCAGAAGGTGTGGAGAACGGATGAGTCCGGGTGCTGTGGCCCACCGCTGTGGGGCCATGTGGTTGGGCTACTGCTGCAGACCTGTGAACACAATTCCATGTCCACAAAACAATGGTGGTTTTGTAGCTTGTCTCTGACAAAGGCTGGTGATCCTGGAAAAAGAGCAAACTTCAGTGAAGGAGTCAGCTGAAGGAGGTGCAGTTCAGTAGTACAGCAAATTCCTAGAATGTATGAGGCCCTGGGTTCAATCCCTAGAAAGGGTGTGAGTCCAGAGAAGCAGAGCTCAGTTATAGAGAAAGCTGTCCTGTCCATATAGTTCATGAGTGCTGGCTCTGTGACCCGTAGGGGAGCTGTGTGGTGGTCTTGAAAACAGTTGTGAATAGAATCGTCCAGTCTCTCCCAGCAATTTCCACAGAAACTGAAATTTTATCTGCCACCAACTTGAAAGGTGCAATTACTCATGCTGTTGAGAATAGAGAACACTTAACAGTAGACTGCTTTGTTGTGTAACTGGCTGAAAATAGAAATAATTAAACCTCCTGAAAATTTGTAGAAAGAGCTGTCATTACTGTTAAAAGGAAGAGAGCTTTGGGGAGGTCGGTGAGAAAGAACCGTTAGTTAGGCTGGCTTTCCAATTGTCTCTTATAAAACTCTGATACACTTAACAAATGTAAAACGCAGGTTACTGCCATGTGCGTATTATTTGAGAGTGGTCTGGTAACTGTGCGCTTAGCAAGCATTCCAATTATGTGTTGCAGAAGAAGGGCTGAGGTTATTCGTGGGACCTGGGGGAAGTACAACCTTTGGCAGCCACCACCTTCCAAACAGGTATGTCATGCACCCAGTCACTCTGCTGAAACATGGACGTTGTCCTACTTCATGGGGAGAGGAAATGTAGTGAGAAGGCTCACCTAGCAAGAGTGAAGCCCTCACTTCAGTCTCAAGAGGGACGGAAACAAGCATGGTGGCTCCCTCCTATAATCCTAGCACCTGGGGAATAAGAGCAGAAAGTTCAGGAGTTCAGGGCTATCCTTGGTTACATAGTCTGAAGAGTCCAAAGCTAGCTCTGAGAAAAAAAATAAGAACAAAGGTTGTAGTTTTCATTATGTTGAGGCTAAAATAACAAATACTGTTCTTCCATTAGAGGGGCTGGTTATGACTGGAATATTCTTTCCTGGATGTCTTCAACATTATATTTTATGTTAGTTTGTTACTTTATTTATATTTTTAGAATCTGTTGGACAGATAAAGCACTTGACAATTGGATCATAAAGAGAATTTTCAGAAAAGAATTGTAGCCTAATATTTTAGACAGAGCAAAGCAAACAGTTGCAGCCAGTGGTCTTACCTCTGTGAGCAGCTGTGCACCCACTCAACAGCATAGGCTGCTATTAACCTTTCTTGACCTTAGAGACATTTTTTCCCAAACAAAAAGGCTGTTTCCATTTCTGTTTTTAATCTTTATATAATATGTATATATGGCTGTTTTTAAAGGTTTTTCTTTTTAATATGTGTCTGTGTGGGTATATACAGGGTGGGGAGGGCAGGGTGCACTCATAGAGACCAGAAGAGAGAGCATTGGGTATCCTGGAGTGTAGTTACAGACAGTTGTAAGACACTCGATATGAATGGTAGAAACTGAACTCAGGTCCTCGGGAAAATCGGGAATGACTCTTAAACTCCTGAGGCATCTCTCCAGCCACCATCTAGATTATTTTTTTAAGATTTTTTTTTCTTTGAGACAGGGTCACAATGTATAGGCTCTGACTGAACTCTCTATGTAGACCAGGCTATCCTCAAACTCACAGAAACCCACCAGCCTCTGCATCCTAAGTGCTGGGACTAAAGGCATACACCAGCACACCGAACAAGACGTCATCCTTGTTGCTGGTTTCTTAGAAGTTGCAATGTGACTGGGTGTGTTTCTCTGTCTTTATTCTGTTTGGGTTTCACTGAACTTCTTGGATCCCTGTACATACAGATTTCATCAGATTTGAGAATTCTCCATCCATTATCCCACACACACATGCTTCCTTCCGGTACTCTGATGTTCAAATGCCAATTCTTATCTTCTGTGAGCTAAGATAAAGCACCACCAACAGACCAAAGTAATGGTTGGTGAACTGATGAACTGGTGAGCTTCCTGGGCTTACAAAGGATCACTCAAAACAACTATCACCAAGAAATCTGACTCCATCATTGATAACAACCTCATAGAGGCCTAAAGTCAGATAACCCTCCACCCCCTATATGCCCTAGCATCTTTCATGAGCACATGCATGAAGGAATGGTGGGTAGAATCCCAGGTGAAAGTCTTGTGATCCTCCTCTTGTTCTTTCTATGAGTGGGAATTAAAAGCTCAACACTTTTCCTATTCCCATAGACCTTGCTGTCACTGTATTGGTTTATTTCATTACCATGACTACAGATAAAGTTCACCAGTTCATCAACTCACCAACTGTAGGAATGGGATAGTCATGTTATACCTAGAGGAAAAGACATACCATAAGCACCTCAGAAAATGCCATTAAGGGGTGAGACCAGCCATAGTAGCCACGACTATAAACTGTATCCACTTGGGGTGAAACAGCAGGTTAGGGGGAGGAGGTTTCTGATACCTCAACAAATGAGGAAATGAGTACCTACTGATAACTTTTAATGGTGAGACCCTCACCTCCATGCAGCGCCAGTATCAAAGTTCTCCTAATCACCCAAGATGCTCCAGGAAAGGATAGAATTATAACCTATTCAAAAACATAAAGCTAGCTGCTGTCTGAAAGACATAGTGAGACCCTTTATTCTGCCAGCTCAGGAAACAGTAGCAGGGAGAAGCATGCTCCTTCATTGATGGCACAGAACCACGGTCCTAAGTGCATCAATCATAACAGCAGCAGGTCTCCTGTTGATAAGATCATTACTTAAATAGGCTGTCTCAGAATGGCTTTATTCACAAAGCCTGCAAGTTATTTAGTATACCCCATCATTCAGTTAGTATATTTCATTATTAGAGGTCAATTCATACCCAGCATATTACAGAATTGTGATGCAGAAACCAAGAATGCAATGGCCAGGCTGATTATTCAACTCTGTCCCCAAAACTGATGTACTGCCATGTTATTCTCTCACTGGCCTGGACTGCTGGGGTAGCTGCCAACCCAGGACAAGGATTTCTTATACGATACCGAGATGGAAGTCGATATATCTCTTTGTGTTCTATATGGGAAAATTTAGCCACATAGCCACACCTATCTACAGGGTTGCTGAGGAGACAGTCTCCAGAAAGGTTCCCTGTCTCCAGCTAAATTGTGAATAAGAGAAGAGATTCAGGGGTGGGAGGGTTGGGGGGGTCCACCAAGAGCACTTTCCTTTTTGATCTACGTCACACAGGTGTAATTTACAATACTGGCCACATGTAAAGCCATCTGTGCACTGACTAAAAGAATTCTTGAGCCCTGTCACCCATAATCCTAGCTCTTGGGAGGTGGAGACAGGAAGAACTGGACTACAAAGCCAGAGAGGTACAGACCAGGCATGTAATTCTGTCAGTAAAAAAGGAAGGGGGAGGGCAAAAGGGAAGGAGAATGAGAGAGAGAGAGTAGAAAGAGTTTTCCTTTTTCTTTCTAGAAAGATATATTAAGCCTACAGTATTATTACGTAAGACTCTAATCATTCTCCAGGGAAACCCTGTGTTCTGCCCTGGCTGACACTGATTTTAGGATTGGAGCTTAGTGGCGGTAGCACATGCCTTTAATCCCAGGAAGCTGAGGCCAGACTGGTCTTCCAGGCCAGCCAGAACTACACAGAGAAACCCTGTCTCAAAAAAAGTGGTGGGGGGGACCAGCGGGTGTGTCTGGGAGGAGAGTTCTTCGGAGGTTGCCACCTCTACAGTTGAAGGTCTGAAAATTTTCCTCTCACTGTTTCAGGGTCGGATCTGGAGCCTATGAACAGGTTGTGATCAAACGCTAAAGTGAAACTGGCAGGTGGAAGCTTCCCTGTGTGGACAACAGGTGTTTCAAGGTGTGTTAGTCAAGCATGCAAGAAAAACTAGGAGCCTGTTTTCAAAGTGGAGTTCATCTGTGAAGAGGCAAGCAGAACTGATTCCTTCTTAAAGCATCCCTCACCGTCCTTTCCCACCTACTCACCCACTGTGGGGAGCATGTGAACGGATGGGGGTGGGGAGCAGGGTTGGGGCAGTGAAGGCCTGGCCTGCATCAGCACCCAGAATGAAAGGTCTGCTTGTGCTTCTGAAAAACCCACACTGGACACATCTGAGGGTGATTTTAATATTCCAGCATAAATATCAAAGTTGGGGGTGCTCAACAGGTCTGGGCTCTGTTTTTAAATTTTATGTTTAACAGACAGTACTTGAGGTCAGTTTAAACCCTATAAAGTCTATCAAGATAGTTGTAATTCCTATGAAGTAAATCTTCCATGTCCTGTTACCTACAGCATTGTACTAAGTGTATTAACTCCTTTTATGCAGAAATTGGCAGAAAGAGCGGGTGTATGCTTTGGGGAAGTATTATGCTATAACTTAAACATTTTAAATACTTTATAATTCTGAACATTTCAGACTTAAATCAAATGGCAAATGTGTCCAAGTCTGCGACAGGTGGACGGAAGGAATGCCATGATGGCACAGCATCTATTATTCCTGTCGCTAATATTAGGTGAGCTGCAAAAGCCCCAGTGCCACAGTGTAAGAGTCACAGTGAACGTGATAGTCAGTACATTAGGCTACCATAGGCAAGCTACAAGGAAAGCTGTTTCATAATCCATTCAGTACTAAGATGCGCTGGTCTGGCGGTCAGAACAGACTCGAAACTGTCAGATGGTCAGAAAGATAGCATTCTTCTTAAGGAAGCCAGATCTCTGGGAACAGACACTTACCATGCTGTGCTAATGGACAGACGTCTGAGCAGCTGAGTGGCGTCCATTTCACTGACGCCATGGGACTGGCGCTTTCCTATTTCAGCCTCTTTGACCCGAGGCTGTTTCTTTACTGTGTCAGAATTTAGCTTTTTGAAGCCAGAGTAGACTATAGCATACCTCTAATACAGCTTTTAGGGTCCAAATATCTAGTCTGGATCCATGTTAACAGCACAGCGCACAATCTGTAGTTTTTCTGGTCTTACTTGACAGTACCCATGTAGAAAGAGCTACACTTCCCTTTGCTGAAAAAAAGCATAGGTCATACAGAGCCATCAGTGCCCGAGTCCTCTTCACAATCATGTCTGAGAAGACGGTAGGTCAGAACAGAATTACTCTGGCCGAGGTACTCTTATATTGACAAAATAATTGTTGCAATGTTCAAATATCCAGATTGGGAAGTTTGGAAAAATTAGAATTGTTTGTGTTAGAATTTTTATTTGACTATCCCAAGAATGAGGTAGTCTACATTAATCCAAACTATTTTTACAAATAGATTCTGATTTAAAAAAAAAAATAACACCCTATTTTGGAATATTTTGAATACTAAAAGAAAGGATTATCTGTGTCAGGTTAAGACACACTTAGAGGGCAGGACACTGACCTAACATCTTGAGCCAGGTTATCCAAATAAGTGAGGACATGCTGTCTGTTTCCAGGTGAGCAGATCCATTGTATGTTACAACAAAATCAAAGTAAGTTTTAACTAGACTTAACGAAGACATTATTTAGAGAGGTTTAGTCTGACAATTTTAAAAGCATATTTTTCTATTTTAAAAATATAATTTCTAGGCTATATTTTTATTGGCGCTTCTGCAAATGACTTTGGATTCTAAAGACATAACAACACTAGCTTGTGAGCATGGTTCAGTGAGGCCGCTCATCAGACACATGAAGGTGCTGTAGTAGGGACGGAGCTTAGCCTTTGCCTGGCTGCCCTGGCCCTATACCTTACCACAGGATTAGGTCTTGGCATTTTAAATGGTACAGAAACTTTTTTTTTAGAACAGTATAATGTGTGGGTCTGGGGAATATAGCTCAGGTGGTAGAATGTTTGCCTAGACTACACAAAGTCCTGGGTTTAATCCCCACCCAGTACATAAACTGGGCATGGTGGTATATGCCTATAATCCCAGCACTTGGAAGGTATAGGCAGGAGGATCAGATGTTTAGGGGCATTCTTGGCTCCATAGGGAGTTGGGGGCCTATGTAGGCAGTGTGATACTCTATCTCTCAAAGGAAAAACAATAATGTGAAGACATTTTGAAAAGTGTAAAAATGATGCCTTTTCATTTTAGCAGCTACTAATTTTGATTTATATATTCTTAAGTATTATAAAAATTCACTTAAAAAGTAGAAACATGGAGTTGGAAGGGGAAAGAATAGCTATGACTCTCGAGTCAGCTGAAGTCTGGATTCCCCCTCCTCTCGTGTCTGAGAGTATATTCTGCATTCATATTTCAGTACAGTCCTATTGGAATGTGAAGGGCTGTTGGAGTGTCTGCATTTCTATTCTTTCTGCACAGCAGATACTGCCAGGCTTTCAGCCACAAGACTATTTTGAAAGCTGTTTGCTAAGTACCAAGTCTACTTTTAACTCTGCTTTGAGTTTAGAAAGCAATAGACTTGCAAAATATAGGCTCTTAACAAAATATTTTTTTAATATTAGTTCAAATTTTAAACAGTCCAATCTTGGAGAAATTTTTAGCTGTGAGTTGTTTTCTACATCTGTCCTAAAGAAAAGACAGACAGCACCCTTTAAAGCTAGTATTTGTGATGAGACAGAAGGAATACCTTGTTCAGAAGAATGCACAGGCCAGTTCAGGAGAGCTTCTCCTGCCACAGGCTGGTGACAAGACTGTACAGGATGTGACATATAGAAAAGAAGGCCCTGAGTCATTAGAATACACCTGAATGTTGGGCTCTGTTTTTCGGCAGTGTTAAAAGGCATCTGTATACAAACAACTAATGTATATTAACACTTTTGATATTAAGGTCTTGACCAACAACCCCAAACTCTACCATCTCATTCCAGCATAAAACCATGTGAATAATATCCAAGCTAGATTCTTCTGTATATGTTTTTGTTTTTTTAGTTTGTTTTTGTTCTTTTATGTACAAAACTGTGAGTCACAGAGGCAGACCGACCACTTAACCCCCTTTTTACTAGAAGGAAAAAAAATCTTCAACTAATTTCCATTCAAAACATACTCAAATTCAGACTCACACCTGTAATCCCAATACTTGGGAGGCTGAGGCAGGAGGATCTAGGAGGCTAGCCTGGGATACACGGTCTCCTTGAGTTCAAGGACAGTCTGGATCCCATGGTAATCTTGAACCCAAAATGAGACTTTTAAATCAGGCAGCACCAAGTTTTGGTAAGTCAAAGCATCCAGAAGCAATTCCAGATTCTCAGATTTCCATGTTAAATAAACCACTCTTGAAGCATAAGCTGACAGTATCATTAAATACTTAACCAAAACATTTCTGAGGCTTCCGTGTTTATATCAAATCTCTGAGAGACACAGTGAGCTCATATGACGAGATTGTACTATTTTCTTCACAAGTCTTTCATGTGGACATTTCAGAAATTCAGTTCTCTTAGATGGTACGCCTTGTGAGTATGATCAAGTAGGGTAGCTGTTAGGCCACTGTGCATCTGGCTTCGTTAGGTACTGAGCATAATGTTAGTAGTCAAGCTGTGCGGATGAAATGTTCCTGTAGTAAGCCTAAGTTAAGACCGCTCTGGAAATAAGGCCTTATTCCCTTCTCCATGGGGTTTTTATCAGAAAATGTATAAATGGTAATATGGGTCGTCTCCCCGTTATAACAAAGATGACAAGAATTTTGATTTATAATGTGTTCTGTATTTTGAAATGAGTATGTTTACCTTATATAATTCTTTCACTACTATTCATTGGCCAAATTCAGTGCAAGGAAAGACAGACTATAGAAGACTTTAACTTTGGCAATATGTCTTGAGGATTACCTTTCTCCGTGTTAGTTCAGTCCTTTAGAGGTTAATACAGTGTTTATGAAAAAATGTTACTGGTAGCTGAAGAACAGCTCAGTGGTAAGGAACCTTCCAGCATGTGCAAGACTCTGGGGTTGGTCCTTAGCGCTGAAAAAAGAAAATGAAGTGACTCCATCGGAATTCTGTTCTAATCCTTGGAGAATGACCTTCATATTTATACATGTCTAATGTCTTAACCAGTGATAAAATCCAGGAAATGTTTTTTAACAAAATAAAATTTTGTTTGTAAACTGTTTATAATATAAAAGTGGATCTTATACATGTTCAATAAAAAGCAGTATCTCAAAAGTTTAGATGCTCTTTAAGATTTTACTTTTATCGGTTTTATCTACATGTATGGGGGAGGTGCATGTCAGTGTGGTACTCATGAAGGCCAAGAAGACTTGAATCTCCTGCTAACAGATCCTTAACCACTGATCCATCTCTCGAACCTTTTACTTTTTAAAATATTAGGAAGCTAGGTATGGTGTCTCATGCCTGAAATCCCAGCACTCAGAAGGCAAGTGACTCTCCATGGGTTTGACGACAGCCCGGGCTATATGTTGAGTTAAAAGACAGCTATGACTAGCGAGTGAGATTGTGCCAAAAAGAAAACCAGTTTTTTTAAAACAAACAAACAAACAAAAAAACATTGCTGTTCCCTTGGAGCCCTTGGACTGGGGTTTGCAGCCATGGAAGATCTCTGCTGTCTTAGGAAGACCTTGCTGATGGTCTGTAGCCTATACTGCAGCCTGGCACCAGGCAAGAATCAGCCAAGTGCTCACAATAACTACAGATAACCTGCAACTTCAGCCAGTGAAACCCTTCCTATGGTTCCATCTCTTTCATGGAGCTGGGTTTAATGAATGCCCCGTAGCTATTCTCAGTGAAAATTAAATCAGGTTCAAGTATACTCTGGGGCAGTTAGATTTCACTGGCCACCAGCTGTTGACCACTGGCATGCTACCTTCAAAGAAGCTTCCCAACCAATACGATGAAAGGAGAGGAGGAAATGGGCAGGAATTTAAAAGGCTGTTGGACAGAATTGTTCACTGTCACCTGAACTCAGATACATGGGAAACCAGATAGTTCTTACCTAGGGACGGTTCACCATGGGTGGTGGACCATAAAGTCTTACTCCTTCCTGCTCAACATAGGAATGAAGCTATAAATTTGGGAAGGCATAGCAGCCTTATAACCCAGTGCCCCAGCTAAAGATTTCACTGCCTCTCAGCAATGGGTTTCATGTCTGGACATTATCTTGTACCATTTCCAATGAGATCTTTTTAAATATTTATAAATGTTTTTGGTATACTATCCATATTTGTAAATACCTTGGGTGGAATCAAGGGCTCACATTTTATATTTGTCATAAGGATACTTCTTAAAGTTTTGCCAAAAAAAGTTAGGAATTAAGATTTTAAAAAATTACATTCAAGGCGGGAGAGATGGTTCAACAGGTAAGAGCACTGACCGCTCTTCCAGAGGTCCTGAGTTCAATTCTTAGCAACCCTATGGTAGCTCATGTCTGTAATGGGATCCGATGCCCTTTTCAGGTGTGTCTGAAGACAGCAACAGTGTACTCATAGACATAAAATAATCTTTTTAAAAATTACTTTAAGTCACACATATCTTCCTACAGACCTTTCTTACCATTGGTCAGAACAACCTCTTAGAAAGGAAATACAACAGCAGCACCCTTCCCTGATGCTGCTGAAGAGGGTAAAAAAGAACTATGGTTAGGAGTTTGATTGCCCATTGTCAGGGCCCTTGGTCAGCACAGCTCTTATAAGCTATGACCACAGAGCATCCTACTTGTTGATGGAAGGGGATACAATATGGGCACTGTAGAGAAGAGACTCCAAACCCAACCCCAGGACACAGGATCATTGCAAAACCAGACAGGACCTCTGACCTCTTCGCTACTTCTTCAGCCTGCAGCTCCTACTTTCCTCAGCATCTATTGGTTTTCTTCCATCTCCTGGACTTTCTCCTTTACTTTCCTGTACCTAGTTCAGCCTGTCCACCACTGTGCTAGCTAGTTTTTTGACAATGTGACACAAGCTAGACTCACCTGGGGAAGGGAACATCAATTGAGAAAATGCCTCTATCAGATTGGTCTGTGGCATGTTTTCTTGATTAATGATCAATTTGGGAATGTCCAACCCATCTGAGCAGTGCCACCCCTGGAAAGGTGGTCCAGGGTTATATAAAAGCAATCGGGCTGAACAAGCCAAGGGAAGCAAGCAAGGAAGCAGCATTTCTCCATGGCTTCTGTTTCAGTTCCTGCCTGCAGTTATTGCCTTAAGTTCCTGCCCTGACTTCCCTTGATGATGTGCTGGGCTAAGGAAATATAAGCCAAAGAAAGTCTTTATTACAGCAACAACAACAAGAAAAACAAACAAACAAACAAGACAACCACTTATCTAGCAGTAGCACATAATGAAAGTTTCCATTTGGATGAGGTATATAACCACTGGTGAAATTAATCTAGCCCATGACTATGTTACATAACAGTTAGAAAGCAAACTGGGAAGGCTCACATTCAGAGACATTCCAGGGGTCTGTGAAACCCTATAACAAGGGAATGCCAGTCAAAGGCATCCCTGATTGAACCGCTTTAAACTCATTCCTGTGCAATTGCAACTCTGCTGAATTAGAGCAGGCATCCTAGGTTGGTTTTTGGTCCCTTGGTTTGGCGTTTGCTTTGCTTTCTACTCTATGAATCAAAGCTACAATGTATACAGGTACTTTAGGAAAAGTGTAACACCTTCTGGCATTGAACTTCATTGACTCTCAAGTGATCTTCTGTCTGCACATATAGACCATGGAATAAAACCAAAGGAAAATCACATTGGATTTTTTTTTCAGTAGTAATTTTAAATTTTTTAAAATATCTGCCAAAAAAGGTATATCAAGTCTTGACCATGCTGCTTAAAAAAGGTGAAATGTTTCCTCTGATGTGGGATTAATGAAAGATTCTGGAAGTACAGGTCCATGAGAAGACCCACCAGCACACAGACACTACATTGAAAACACAAGAGTTATTCATCAAATACCCAGGATCCAATGGGTCATGGTTCAGGTGTAGATGCAGGGTGCAGTGTTTCGAGGAGTGAAGGAACTGATTTAACTTCGTGTAGCTAATGCTAGCCTGAACCACAGCTTGGTAGAAATGGGTAGAAAAATGGTAATTATACTGTTGAAGGCCAAAGGGATTCAGGCAAAATGTATATACAATTTGACAGGTGTAAAGCTCCCCTACCCCTAGACCTTCTTAACATAACTGACTCCATGACAGAAGTGCCATTCAGACTATAAAACTCAGCACAAAGGCAGTACCACCCGCCAAAATGAAACAAAGATCTAATCCAACCAAGTCCATAGTTCTGGGGAAATCATTAAATGTACTAACCTTGCTTTGTGGCTTCTATAGTTCTGCTTCTGGCTATCTGTTCTTGTTAACTGAAGTTTATCAACCCAGAATATGGGTTTTGTGCTTTAAAATTCACCCTGAGAAAGGCTCAGTGCTACACTGGGATCCTGAGCACCCAATGTGGTCACCACCACGCTAATACAGACTTTCTACAGGTTTAAACTTAAGTCTGTGCAGTCTTCTCTGGTGAATATCCCACAACAGCAGGAACATTTAAAACCCAGGAGATATGCAGGGGGCATGAAGTGTTAACTTTTGCAGGTGGTAGAGGATATAACCAGCATGTAGGACTTCAAAAATCAGTATTATTCACTGAACAAATTTCTAAAACTCCTGCCAGCTTGTGTATCATGTCTCAACATTGTGACCAAATGTTATTTTTCCTATTCACAAAGATGTGTATCATATTTACATATGATAAATTGTATTTGTGTAGTATCCTGTACAATGTGGAAACGCATTGTTCTTAATGCCTTTGGAAGATTCTGCTGCCATTGCTGATGGCCATTAGCCCATGACTTCCTGAAACTGCTTAACACAAACCACAGAACCAGATATGGTAGGGTTGTCATTGCAACCCAATCCAGTGGAGAAAACTAATTTAATTGGAATTGTTTCTGGGCCACTGCTGACAGAACTGAGGGCTTAGGACACTGTATGGGAGCTGAGGTGCCTGCTGGGGATGCTGTAGAGGGGAAGATTGGACATCAGAGCGTACAGACAGGGAAGGGTGGGAAGGAGCAAGAAGGCCTGAGAAAGGATGTATGCTCCTGTGAGGAAAGGGGGTAACAGGCTGTGGAGTCTCATGGAGGCCAAGTCTCACATGCAGATGATATGGAAACAACTTGAACTCAAGGAATTCTGGGAAGGCAAGCTTCTGTGAAGTCACAGAAATCTTTAAAAGTTCTTGCTATCATCATGAATGTCTCCCAGAGAGCTCCAGGGAAGTGCTGCTGGGAGGGCATGGAACCTTTTAGAGGTATAAGGAACATCATGGAAGACTGTAGGGCACTTTGGAGGAAGGATGTGGGGAGTGCCTTTGCAGAATCCAGACCATGGTCTCTTCCTCTCTTTTGCTCCCTGGCTACAAAGAGAATGGTCGTTTTGTACCATAAGGTCTGATCAATGTGCACTGCCTTGCCACAAGCCCAAAACAACAGAATGAAACTATCTGGGACAGGAATTTCCAAGACAGTAAGCCAAAACAAGACTTGTCTCCTTTTAGGTACCTCAGGTAATTTATCATAATAGCAGAAAGCCAAGTTTTAGAGCCGTCCAGACCAAAAATAGGAGTTGGAGGCTGTGGCTGATAACACGTTTCACATATAGTCTGGGAATGCTGGCCCTGTTGAGCAACATGAAAACTTACAAAGATAAATCTTGTTAAGGTAAAATTCTGCCTCCTACAAAACCACATTATTCATTGACACCCAGAGCAATTTAACTCATATTAACATGTGGCCCGAGGGCCTGGAGGGATGGCTCAATGGTTAAGAGTGCCGACTGCTCTCCCAGAGGATCTGGGTTCAATTCCTATCACCCACATGGTGGTTCACAATTATCTGCAACTCAGTTCCACAGGATCAGATGCCCTCTTCTGTCCCATCCACACCAGCAACATGGCAAAACACCTATACACATACAAATTATAAGTAAATAATAAAAAAAGGATACTATGCTGTCCTTTCAAAGTGATATACTAGGGGTGTGGGGGTGGGGTGAAGAATAACTTGTCCCCTATTAGTCATTAGTTCTTGCCAACCTGCTATCTACACTTAAGTGAATTAAGAGGAGGGAATGTTTGATAAGTCTTCTCCAGGGATCTATAGGACGGGTAAACTGTTGAGGGACATTTCTTTACATTCTTAGTAATAATTA